GCAGGACCTGATTACAGCCCAAATCTTGCGATACATGGGTTCAAGTATCGAGAGCTAAACTGCGTCCGGCGAAAACCGTGATAAAATATAGAGGAGTAAACCTCACTAGTGGTGAAAAATCCCCATTACCAAGGTGGAAGGCATCGTGCCGAAGGTATGCGAGGTGCAAGGGTTAGCGCACCGCAAACGATCCCTCCGGGATACCAGGCGACCTCCCGGAGTATCTAGCCTGGGTGGGGTAAGGGTGCACTGCCCCCCCTGTAAGTATATTTCAGCCCGACTCGTGGGATCAGATATGGAAAATGAAAATGTAGATAACTTAACTGGGGACAGCACATCAGGTGCAAATGCAGAAAACAAAGAGAAAGCCGAAAGAAAGGAGAGGATAAACGCGGAAGAGAAGATCTTTAAAAGATCTTCAAAAATGAAACGCTCCCCTCAAAGGAGCAGAGAAAATGAGAGTGGTGTTCAAGATCCGTCTGGGGATAAGAACCAGAAGATAAAGGCCCGAAAGGCGAGTACGGGGTCGGTCCTGGATAGTATCCTGGATTCGTCTTCGGACGAAGGGGAGCCCCTAGACTCTAAGAGGAAAAGGGGAAAAAATGAAGAATCGGAAAAGGAGCCATCGGAGGAAGAAGAATGGTCGGTGACGAGGGGGAAAAGAAAGAAAAGGAGCCCCAAGTCCAGGACTGACCAACACAAAAAGGACACCGAAGAGAACGAGGTGGAGGTGCTTCACCGAAGGGTGGATGAGCTCCAAATGAGGATCGAGGAGATCCACCGTCTGACGATTTTATATCCAAATACCCAGACGGATATAAAGAAAAGTGTGAAAGCGGCGAGAACTTGCGTGATGCAGACCGCGAGGTGTGCTAGCCGAGTGAGCAAGAGAGTAAGCGAGCAGGATGAAAATCTGAGGCGAGTGCGGAAGGAATTGGCGGAGGTGCGCTCGGGTCTGGCGGCTGCGAGCGCTCCTCCGGCAAGGCCGAAAGGGTTGAGTGTGGGGATCCAGGTCGGGAGCGAAGACTTGGATGAGTTAGAGGCTGCCAGAAAAGAAGAAGAGAGAGTGGCAGCCCTAAAAGAACGAATGGACAGGGTCCTAGAAGTTGACGAGGTCATAGACCTCGCCAACGAAGATTGGCCGGAGGCAGTCTTCGAAAGGACCGAGGCGACCGGAGAAAGCCCGCTTGGAAGGGCAAATGACCTGGGTGTGTTTGTGGCGAACGGGGGAGACACCGGGGGCGAGGTTTTTGGTGCCTACCCAGAGCTGGTGTCTCTTCCTGTGGAGGAGAGAATGGAGGATGTCAGGTGCGGGTGGATGGCGGTGATGACTAGAGTGCCTGGGAGGGATACTACCGAGAAGTATATCTTCAAGGTGGTTCCCTCTGACAGAAATGAGGTGAGTGGGGCGGCTAGGTTCGTGCACGCGGCACGAACACTGGCCGAATGTATGAAAGAAGAGAGGAGAGAGTGTGTCTCGCTGGCAGCTCCGGGATTCTTGGGGCTTGAACGGTCCAGGAAGATCTTGGAGCTGGTAGCCAGAGTGAATGGGGTGCGCTTTATAGTGCACGGCAAGCGAAATATGAAGGGTTGTGTGGCACCGCTGCCCAAAAAAAAGGATGCGGTGGTGATAATCAAATCGGCGAATCGGACTTACGCCGAACTTTTAAAGGATGTAAGAACCAGTGTCGGAGAATGTGAGGATATTAGGGTGACAAGGGTGAGGCAGACCAAAGAAGGTCTAGCCTTGTCCCTTAATGGAGGAGTAAAGATGGCTGAAAGGGTCAGGGAGGTGGTGCGTGCCGGCGTCCCTGCGGCCGTAAAGACGGTTGCAAGGGGAGGAATTCGGACCCGTACCATTTTCCTGATGGGAATGGATGAGCTCACCTCTGAAAACGAGGTGAGGGATGCGATTGAATGCGCTGCCGGGAGAAAGGTCGACCTTGACATAAAGTCGCTTCGACCTGCCGGTGACAGAAATAAAAATGCCACCGTCGAGGTCGAAGAGACTGTTGCACTGAGACTTCTCAGTGCAGGCAGTGTCAAGGTGCGCTGAATCTCGTGCAGCGTGCGTGAAAAGCTGGACCTAAAACGTTGTTTTAGGTGCCAGAAGTATGGTCACCTATTGCGTGAGTGTAAGGAAAAAGAGAGGGGAGAGGTGTGCTGGCGATGTGGTCAAACAGGCCACAAGCGCCAGGAATGCAAGGAAGAGAGTGCGAAGTGTGTCGACTGTGGGGAGAATGGACACTACGGGGAACCACCCGCTGTGAGGTGTTCAGGCGTCTCCTTAAGGAAAAGAGGGAGAAGGTACAGGGACCACGACGTTAAGATGGCGGGTGGCACCAATACCAAGAGTGCGAGGTTTCTTCAGACCAATCTGGGTAGGGCGAGGTTGGCGCACGATCTCGCCCTGGAGGCCGCCACGAGGAGGAATATCGACGTCCTCATCGTGTCGGAGCCAAATCTCAGGGTGGTCCGAGAGAAAGGTTGGCAAGCGGACGAAGCGGGTGACGTCGCGGTGTATATTCGGAATCGTAAGTTGCGAATCTATGCCATTAACGCACATGACGGTTATGTAACTATAAGAATGGAAAGAATGAATGTAATCTATTGCTATATTTCCCCAAATTTCTATTCCCCATATTTCTAACTAGTTTTTAACTTCATGCTTTCATCATAAACATACTTTCAACCTGCATAGGTCTTTATGGGTAGATTTAGATATTATATGCTATTGGTTTACACCTATTGTTATTTGTTATGTTGGTTATCTGTTGAATAGAATACTCTAGTTTTGGATGTAGAACTTTAACAAATCCTAAACTATTTCACAATGTCTAAATCATATTTGTTAATACAAATTTATTAAAATTACATCTATATATCATGTCAAATTCTAGTGAATTTAATAAATATTCTACGTATATGATCATTGCAACTATTAAACACTTACAAATGTTGTTTACAAATTATGTTTAAATACCTTAAACTGTTTGTTATTACTTAACTTTCAATAACTATTTCTTTTTTAAATTACTACTAGATAATAGAATATTCTAGTTTTGGATACAGAGCTTTAACAAATCCTAAACTATTCCACAATGTCTAAAGCATATTTGTTAATACAAATTATTTATTAAAATTTCATCTATATATCATGTCAAATTCTAGTGAATTTAATAAATATTCTACGTATATGATCATTGCAACTATTAAACACTTACAAATGTTTTTTACAAATTATGTTTAAATATCTTAAACTGTTTGTATTTACTCAAGTATCAATCACTATTTTCTTTTTTAAATTACTACTAGATAACAGAATACTCTAGTTTTGAATACAGAACTTTAACAAATCCTAAACTATTCTACAATGTCTAATGCTTATTTGTAAATACATAAAATAAAAAAAAGTAAAAAAGTAATGATTTAAAAATTTGAGTTTAAAAATAATATTTTACAAACTCTTGAACTTTTTAAAGCAGAACGTTTTTGAGTTAGTGTTAATCCTGCTTTTGAAAAAATACGTTCACATGGAACCGATGTAGCCTGAATGCATAGTCTTTTTTTGATATAATTAAATAATGTTGGATACACATGTTTTCGGGTCATCCACCAAGCTAAAGGATCTTCATTTCTGCTTATAAGTGGCTCACTCAAATATCATATCTAATTCTATAATAGCTGCAGACGTCAAATTTCTTTCTTGCAATAAATTACCAACATCTTGATCAAAATGAGACCATAATGTTAGTTTTTTTATTGCTGATGAGGAAGATGGTACATCAGCCTCTGGTATTGCTTGTAGTTTTGTTTTATTGTTATTATAAATTGCACCCTACTTTTCTTCGCAAATTAATCACAGCAGTTAAATATTTGCTCTCCTCTTTGAATCCAAACTTTTTAAATCGAGGATCTAAAATCGTTGATTCAGCCAAAATGGCATTATTTTCAATATCGCCAAAGCGATCGAAAAATTGGTTCAGCATATCTGCAACAACTTGCTTTACTTCTTCCAAATTCCAAATCTTTTTTAAATTTCTTAGATGTTCATATATGGCACGAACAAAAATAAGTATTTTTGAAGAAGTCACATTTTTTTCTGCGCTGATTTCATCAGTGATTTCCTTAAAAGTCTGTAGGACATATTAACTGTTCCAATACGGTCCATTCAAGGCCAGTTATGTTATTTAGGTTTGGACATTCTAGCGCTAACGTGGAAATTATGACATCCTTAATTTTACATGCCCGATTGACCATGTCAAGCGTTGAATTCCAACGTGTTCGTACCTCCTGTTTACTTTTAAGTTCAGGTAATCCCATCTGAACTTGTGCTTTTGTTAATTTTGATAATGCTGCAGAACTTTTCTTAAAGAACGCTACAATTGATTTCAGTTTCTCCAAAGTCAGATCTATTATTTTCTACCATGTCGCACTAAAAGATTTATTAAATGCGCAAAACAACCACGTGAGTTTCGTCCTCCTTTTTGCACTGCAGCAAGAAAATTAGGTCCATTATCAGTGACCACACATACTATTTTCAATTCAATTTTCCACTCTTTGAATTTATCAGCAAAAATTTTTGCTAAGTTTTGTGCAGTATGTCTTTCCTCATAAGCAAAACAGTCCAACAGATGGGGCCTTAATTTTAATTGAGACTGCTTTTCGATAATGTAATGAGCAGTAATTGCAACAAAGCTCTCATTATTTGTGGATGTCCCGCTATCCGTGGTAATACAAATGAACTCAACTTAAGTTAATTCAATTTCGATTTTTTCGCGATTTGATTGGTGCAGTTGTTCCAATAAATTGTTGCTGATAGTTTTCCTTGATGATACATTATAATTAGGGGACAGCATCTCAAAGAGTTTTTTAAATTCTACTTCTACAATTTTGAATGAATGGTAACCTTTCACTATAAACCGTAATATTTGTAAGTCAATTTCTTCACTTCTAGCAATCGATAGTAGTTTCTTACTGTAAGCAAAGTTAGTTAAAACTTATTTAGTCTTTAGTTTTTTTAGGTTAGGTTCAATGTTATCTTCACTATAAACACTAACACCAGACATCGTATCGGCACCGGTACTTGTACTTGATAAATTATAGTCTCTGTTACTTATACTTGTTTCTTGTATTTGGGTTTGTCCCAAAGATACTGTTACACCAGTAACCCTCTTCCTGGAAATACTAGTTGTAGAATGTTTCGTCTTCATATGACGATTCAAATTACCCATTAAACCATTTTTTGTCGACAAAATCTGTTTGCAATACAAACATTTTGCATTACATTTCTCGTTTAAAATTTCAATATGAAACCAGATATCACTTCTTTTAGGAGCCATTCTTACCACAAAACTACTTTATTACCAACGAATGTAATATAAATATAAAAATTAAAGAAGTGATCACTACGAATCAACAAAACAAGAAGAAATTTGTACAAATACAAATATACAAGCAGTTCAAACACCTTGCACTGACGTGTATTATGTTACAACTAAAAGTCTGGGTTTTAGTTTTTCGTTTTACCTCCAAATAAACCTATTCAAATAAAAACAACGCTTTTATAAAATAACGGTTTTTAACAAATTTAATGGAAAAGTATACTACAATAAATTATTCAGCATCTCTTTCTTTAACTTCCATCGCATCTCCATCGCCATCTCATGCTTATAAAATGAAAAAGAAAAAGATCCCATAACGCAACCTTTAGTTCTATTTCGCTAGTTGGTCGTCACTACATCCATCAAATGCATCAACTCAAATAATCAAACATGTTTATCATACTTTTTACCACTTTTTAAGTCGAGGGTTGAGAAGATTGTTGCTGTCCCAAGTTCTTTGATGCTATCATGGATTGGTGGCATATTCGAAACTTCGTCCACGGTGATGCTGTTGATTTTTCTGTAATCGACACAGAATCTCGGTGTACCATCCTTTTTGGTCACGATGACGACGGGGCTGTTGTAGGGGCTTTTGCTGGGTCGGATCACTCCAACGGATAACATTTCTTGGACCTCTTGAAACATTATCCGCTTTTTCTCTTGGGAGTACTTGTATGGTCTGACATTGACTGGTCTGTCGTCGGTCAGGTCGATCCGCATGGTCACGACTTTCGTTGTCGGCTGGCGGATTCTATCATCGAAGACGTCGCTGTAGTCGTGGATCGTCTTTTCAATGATGTGGAAGGCGAATTCCGGAGCTTGATCCGGTTGTAGCTTCTGCGTCGAGGTGTTGCTTGTAGTTATCTTCGGAGCTTCCCAGTATAGTGTTCGGCGGCTCTGGATTCCAGCGTGCAGACATTTGCGTGGTATGTCTACCAGGACTTCCTCTTGTTTGAGCCACGGCATGCCCAATACTATGTCGTGGTGGAGTTGCTCAACTACAATGCATTTTACCTTGGATTGGAAGCTATTTGCAAATCGGATGTTGACTTCGGTTGTCCCTAGACTGCGGGACGTGTGGCCTTCGCACGCCAGCCGGACTGTGGATGGGCTGCCTCGTATCTTTTCACCTCGGATCAGGTCTTTACTGACGAAATTGCCGGATGCACCAGTGTCGACTAGTGCTCTGATCCTCTGGGTGTTGACTTCTGCAGAAATCTTGGGAAGATATGAGGTAGATTGATGTTCCATCGGGTTCAGCTGGGGCACTACTACGGCTGAGGTCCTTAGTTGAGTGTGCCCCGGTTGTCGTTTCCCTGGTCCTGGGCTCGGGGTCTAGGAACGGGACGACTCTGCTGACGGCTGTTGTTTGGTCCTCGGTTGCGCCAATCATCGATTGTCTCGGAGGTTCTAGGGGGTTGCTGACTGCGTGGTTGGTTTGAATTGTTGGGTTGGCTCGGGGGACTGGAAGCGGCGGTTAGACGCTAGACGTTAGTTCTAACTCGTCTGCGGCTCTCCGAAGTTCTTCCTCGGTTCTCGGGGTTGCTATACTCATATGTTTTCTAATTTCGGGCTTGAGTTGGTCCACAATAATGCGGCATCTCTTATCCTCCGACACTTCAGGGGCTACCTTTCGGAAAAGGGCCATCTTATTCGTGATAAAAGCTGCTGCGGATTCTTTTCTTTGCCACTGGCCGTAGAGTTTGGCAAGTAACTTTGTGATCTGAGAAGAATGACTAAAGTGATCAATAAGACGACTAAAGAACGTACCGTGGTCAAGCTTTGGGTTGGCATGGTCTTCGGCCCACGTGGCCGCGTCGCCGGCTAGTCCTTCTTCTAAAATGTAGGCTGTCCAGTGTCTTTCGTCTAGGCCTATATTTTGTAAATGTTCGGTGGCTGTTTCTTGAAATTCTTCCGGGCTTTCGGTTTCTCCGCCTGAGAATCTTGATAGGGTTGGTCTCCATTTTGTAGAGGGCGGTGTCGGTGTCGGAGGAGTGGTTGCTGGTTCGGTCTTCGCTGATTGCGCTAGCGTTAGCGCTGTTACGGCTTGCATCAGGGCTGCTAAAAGCGCCGGCAGCTCTGTCGGAGGGGGTTGAGGATCTGTTATCCCCGTGAGTTGGGCGCCATGTCGCTGAGTCGGTTCCACGGAAGGCTGTGGATCGCCCTCAGTCGCTCTGTCCGCTAAGGCAGACGATCGGAGTATGCGTTGTGATTCCATTTGGCTGTAACAACAATCAGAAAGCAAAAGGAAACACAGGGAAAGAATAAAGAAACTCAAGGTCTTTTATTTATTTTTAAAAGAGATTTGCTCATCAGCGTCAGTTCGTCGTTTTCTTCCCCACTGCAAGACGTGCCTGAAGGTTTCTCTGGATGACGTGTGTGACCGCAGATATGGCTGGAAACACTCTTCTTGCTTGTCCTGAGTTGCCTGCTTATAGTACGTTGTACCAAGTTTGTATTTCGGAATTTTGGAATAATTCGGAAACCGTCTTAGTACACGTATAAAACAGGTTAACAACTCACGGGTCAAGCTCTAGAAGGAGTGTGTGGTTGCTATGCCGCTAAGGCAGAGCAGAAATACGAACTGACGCGACTCGCCACGTGGAGGACCTCTGAGGTGCCTAAAACAAACGGTAAACTAGGGTATGTGCAATAATAGGTAAAATTAATATGTAAATAGAAGCGTAATAGAAAGTGGTATTAAGAACTGTAGGATAAGCAAATGATATACACACAAATATATTTAGATACGTTAATGAAACAACAATAGAAATATGATCAGTAAAATGAGCTGTAAGAGATAGGTTAAAGTTAAAATACGAAATGCGGGAAAAGGAGATATAAATGGTACAAAATGCTCTGGAGCAACAGCGTTGCGACAGAGGAAACAAGCACATAAATATATATAGGTAAAACGTGTCAAACGACAAGGTAAATTCAATCAATAATATATATACGTTAGGTTAGGTATCAAAAATAATAAGTAAATTCCAAGTGCACAGCAATGAGTAAAATATGGTACATATAAATAAGCAAAGGTAAAATATCAACAATGAAACGGATAAATAATACCTGAAAGAAAAGTGTAAAATAAAATACCAAGAAAACAATATTCTATAAGAATATTGGAATAATACCAAGCTGGAACAAGGAGCGGTTGAGAAGTCTAATTCTCAACCAAGGTTTCGAGTAAAAGAACTAGTGATTAACCATAAATGGGTATTCCCCAACCAGAGGTCTTAGCTAGTTCAGACTCAGAACCGAATAGGCCTTCTGGAGATTGTGCACGTTCTTTTATCCTATTTTCGTCCTTGGTGAGGTGTGCAAAATGGGCGTGACCGGCAACTCACCAATCAGAAAATAGGATAACGTCCGGAGCCAATCAGAAGGCGTAGAGGTGCGAAATGAGCAGATCCGGATGCGCACTGGTTCAAGTGACGCGTCCGTATCTGGTGACACTACAAACAATTTTTTTTATTTTTATCGGTTCTTACGTTAGTTTTACCATGTCAAGTTAGACATGCCCAAGTCATATTGGCTAATTTTATCTTACATCGGAAGTGACCAAGTCATCTTTATTGCATTTTTGTTAGTGTACCATAAGAATTATTTTATTAATAACTAAGTATTTGCCTCTAGATGACTAACCCTCGAAACATAAAACCTTCTAAACTGTGTAGTTATCATGTTCGATTTTATAGGCACTTCTAAAACTTTACACTTCATTTTCTCGAAACTACCTAAACATGACTTGGTCACTTTTGGCAGTATGCCGACGGTATATTAAAATGCGTTAAAATGGTATTAACGATTAATAGTATTAATTAAATTATAGATAAAAATGGAAATGCATTTCCAAAACGTTGTAAATGCCAAAAACAAAATTTTACAGGAGACGGAAGAACACATTTTATGCAAAAACAAACATGTGGTGGACAGTAACTTATTCAACTGTATGAAGTTGATAAAATGTTACCAAATTTATCATTTAATTTCCTGTCTTGAAAACATGTTTAAAATCTAGTGCATTTTCAAAATGTTGTATATGCCATGATATGTGCAAGTCTAAACAAAAGGTTGTAGCAGCTGTCCAAGTAATAATTCAAACTTCAAAATATTCATGTTCTTAATTGAACATACAAATTAGACAAAAACAAGTTATTACAATAACATGCAAGACAAGTTGATTAAAAATGTCATTCTCCTATGTTAATTACTGGGTTTTCTTGGTTCTGGTTACCTGGAGGTTGTGCTAGAATTTCTTGAAAGTACTCACGAGTTTCTGGCAACAGATATGGCATCATATTCACGATATCTACTTTTTTCTTTTTAGGAAGACCAAATCGTGTACGGTGTACAGGCAAAACAATGTCCTTGAAATCATCAATAGATGACTGATTGATTTTTTCACCGTTTAGGACAGGAGTGGTCGAACAATCTTATTCACCAGTATAAAGCATGGCATTTACAACGTGAATCCGCAATAAAACGCATGTGGCCCAAAATGGCATTTACAACGTTTTGTAAATGCACGCTTCATATAATACAATGCAATAAAATTGTATAAAAGAATAAAATTGAATTAAAGGTAAAAAATGATATGCATATATAATCATCATCATCATCACACAGCCAAATTTGTCCACTGTCGAACATAGGCCTCCTCAAGATGTCTCCACTTTTCTCTGTCCTGTGCAGCTGCGATCCAGTTTGTCACTATTCTTTTAATGTCGTTCGTCCATCTGGTAGGTGGTCTTCCACGATTTCGCTTGTCTGCCCTTGGCCGCCATTCTAAAATCTTTGTCCATCTGTTGTCTCTCTGTCTTGCGACGTGTCCTGACCATTTCCACTTCAACTTCGTAATCCGTTTTATGACGTCTTGCACTCCAGTTCTTCGCCGTATCTCATCATTTCGTATTCGGTCTCTCAAAGTTACGCCAAGCATAGATCTTTCCATT